AGAATAGGACAGTACTGGTACAAAAACAGACATGCAGATCCATGGAACAGAAGAGAGAATGTAGAAACACCCACAGGGACATTCAGCCACCTGATCTTTGACCAAGAGGCCAAAAACATAAGCTGAAGGAAAGACAGCCTCTTTAACAAATGGTGCTGGGTGAGCTGGTTACCTACATGCAGAACACTAAATTAGACCCCATCTCTCAGCACACACCAAAATAAAATTAAAATGGTTCAAAGACCTAAATGTTAAAAAAAAAAAATTATTTGCTGAAAGATAAAATTGGTAAAACTCTTGAAGACACAGGGAGGGCTATGCAAAGACTTTCTGAACAGAACCCCAGTTGTAGAAAAAATAACACCAGAATCAACAAATGGGATTATATCAAATTAAAAAGCTCCTGCACAGTAAAGGAAACAGAGTGAAGAGACAACCTACAGAATGGGAAAAAAAAAATTGCCAGCTACTCCCCAGAGGACTAATATGTAGCATATATAAAGAACTCAAAGAAATGAACTCCTCCAAAAGACTCAATCAAAAATGAATAGATGGTATCATAAGAAGTACAAATGGCTAATAGGTATATTAAAAATGTTCAACATCTCTGGCCATTAATAAATGCAAGTTAAAATAACAGATTCTGTCTTACTCCAGAAACAATGGTTATCATGAAGAAATCAAATAAAAACAAATGCTGGTGAGGCTGTGGAGAAAAAAAAAAAAGTTTTTATATTGTTGGTGGGAATGTAAACTAATACAACCACTATGGAGACTCCTCAACAATCTAAAAATATAAGTTCCATTTGACCCAGCTATTCCCCTTCTAGATATCTTCCCAAAAGATTTATAGGCATCATATTACAGTGATAGATGCATACCTACATTTATAGCTGCACAATTCATAATAGCTAAATATTGGAAATGGCTTTCAGGTCCATCAACAGGTGAATGGATGAAGAAAATGTGGTATTTATACACAATAGAGTACTACTCTGCCATCAAGAAGGATAACTATCATTTGTAGGAAAATGGATACACCTTGAGACCATGATGTTACATGAAATAACAGACACACAATCTTGAATATTGCATAGTTTCTCTTTTATAAGAACTCCAGAGTATAAGTAATTCAAAGAGTAAAATAAAAGATGGATAACAGAAAACAGAGAGATACATCTTTTCCAAAAGGGAAGGGAAGGAAGGAAAGGGGAAATAAAAAGAATTAAGATATGTTACTACATGCACCAACTCCCCATGAGGAATATACTGCAAACATGTACTAATGAAGATTTTTAAAATATAAAAAGGTACTGTTAATGAAAGGCCCATTATCCAAACTAATGAAAAATCAAGGTTCTGTGATAGATGAACTGCTTGGAGTTGAGAATGACTATGTTTTGTTTACCCAGTAGCAAATCTTACTAGAATAGCCCAGGCATTGGAAAGTGTGTGGAGTGACCACGGTTGGCTGCAGTAGTATTTCTAGGTAGTGCAATCTGCAGGCAAGAATATGGGTTTCAGAATCAAACAGCCATCATTTGAGTCCTAGTGCAGTGGACAATGCACTGATGGCCCCAGTTAATGGCTTCCCTGGACTCATGCCCAGTCCAGTGTGACTTGGCAGCTTTCCCTTCCCTTGAAATTTTGTCGGCCTTGTAGCATGCTTTGCCCAACAGAATAAGGAAGTGATGGTGTAACATCTGAGCCTAGGATTCAAAAGGCCTTTTGCTTCTCTCCCTCTCTTTCTCTCAACCTTCCTTCTACCAGAAGAATAAACCTTGACTCACTTGCTAAAATCTAGGAGACCGTGTGAAGTAGAGCCCAGTTGTTTCAGCTGTGGATAGACCAGACCCACATAGAATCAGCCAACTCCTGAACATATTGAGAGCCTACTAAGATCACAGAACTATCCACCTGATGTTTGACCTATGGTCTTCTGAGCAATAAATACATGCTTACTATTTCATGCTGCTGAGCTGTGGAGTGGTTTGTTTTGTATCAGTTGCTAAATGACACATCCATATTACTAGCTATGTAACCCTCAGGAAGTTGCTTAACTTCTGAGTCTCATTTTATCCATCTGTGCTTACATGTCTGTTATACATTATCTTTAATCCACACAGTACTCTGGTGATGTATTTCATTCCCATTGTAAAACAAATGAATTCTTACAAATGTGAAGCAATTAAATCAATGCAACTTTCTCATAAGAGACCTCAAAGAAAGTAAATGAATCGCATAAGCAAATTTAATAAAGAATTCCAAAATGCAATTTGAAAAGGGGAGCGGCTCACTTATATTAAGAGTATCCTCCTAAAGTTAAACAATTGAAGATTTCAGTACAGAAAAGATAACCACATGTCTGACTGGAATAAGGGCAAGGATTGAATTTTTTTTTTTAGCCACTCTATTTCCAGGGCCTAGCAGAATATCCCACATATTAGTCAATATCAGTAAGTATTTGAAAGAATCCATGAATGAATACTAACGTTACATTGAAAAAATCTATTCTAACATTCAAATAGAAAACTGAAGGAGTCAAAAGGTAGCTGGACGTGGTGGCTCACCCCTACAATCCCAGGCTGAGGCAGAGGGATTACAAATTCCAGGCCAGCCTGGGCAACTTAGTGAGACCCTGTCTTAAAATAGAACTTTAAGTGGGCTTGGGATGTAGTTGTGGTAGAATGCCTTGCTTAGCATGCTTGAGGCCCTGGGTTTGACCCCAGTAACAACAAAGCAAAACAAAACATGAAGCCTCCAATGAAATAAAAACATCTTCCTTTTTCTCACACAACTCCTGCAAAAGCACAGAAGAGCTCACCTGCCTGATTAAGACAGCAGCACAGAATGAGGAAGAGACGAAATCTCAGCAGGAGAGGCTATCCCTTAGTTTTAAGTCTCTTCCCTGTCCTGCAGGAGCTCTTCCACACACAGACCCACTTTCCTCCCCTACCTGTGTCTTGCCTCCCACCCTCTTGCAGTCGCTAACACAGAGAGACCTTTCAACCGTGCATGTACACTGCTGCGTGTGAAGACCAGAGGAAGAACACAACAGGATCTGCAGAAGGCCTGGATCTGCATCTACAGACTACTCTGTTCGTAGACAGGGTGTGGCCAGGCTTGGTAAAAAAATTCTTTATGGTTTCTATAGCACCTGGGTTTTGAATTTTAGTCATGACAAAGGAAACATAAAAGAGGCAAAACTAAAGGGCAGGCTGAACAGGTTCAATTATCAAACTTGAAATTACAGTACTTGAATAAAATCCATAGTTGCTTTTCATTGTGCTGCCAGGACCCTTCCGTCTCTCCTTCAAAACCACCATTTTCTCTGAACTTTCCAACTAGACTGAGCTCTCTAAAAAGCAGGGGCCACATGTGAGAGCTGGCCAAAAGGCAGATGTTTATCGTGAAAACTGACTCCTATTTTGCAGAAAGTACAATGCAAGGGTGAATGTCTTCTTTTTTCCACATTTTATATCGCAGGGTCCTTGGGAAAAGCCAGTGGAATGTATTTCCCTGAAAACCAAGAGGTGATTCACAGAAGTTAGCTTGATTTGGGGGGCACTTGCCTGTAGAGCTCCCTCCTGGAGAAGTGGGTGTGTACAAACATGCGGTCAAGTTTCATGCTCAGAGAACTATCTCAGTAGGCTGAGGGCAAATAAAGTTACGGGCATCACAGGTCCACATGGTATACTAAATGATCATCGGCTAGTTCCACTTGTCTCCCCCCTCTGGGATGAATGATATTTAATTATTCACTCATTCTCAATGTGTTGAGCATTTACTGTATGCAAGGATCTTTGTTCTGCTAGGTACAAAAAAGTGAAGGAGGGTCCTGCCCCAAAGGCACAGGGTAGATGGCTCGGTAGCATGAGAGATGAGCAGAAGTAACCAGGTAAAAGGGTAAGAACTGAGAAAATGTTACTGGGTGTTGGGGCACAGTGGGAGATACATCTTGACTCGTCCTGACTCACTCAGGAAAGAGCGGGAATTGGCCAGCTGGAGAATGGCGTGCCGGATGTTTTCGGTAAAGTGAGTAATAACGGTGAAGACTCAGCCACAGTCACGCAGAGGCAAGTAAGTGTAAATACGGCTGAGGAGAAGATACCTTTTGTTTACCACTCTCAAAGCCTCCATCTGTCCTAAGCTACACCCAGGAAACATATAACCTCAGAAAAAACGCTGCAGAGTTGAAAATCAACTCCCTCCAGCCCAATTCTAATCTTACAGAGCCTAAATAGATCTGGAGGGGCCATCCAGGGAACGATTTCTGCACATAGAGTTCAGGACAGGAGGAGAGGGAATGACAGTGGGAATGACAGCGTGTGCACGCTGAGTGTCCCCACCTCTGCTGGACTTGATTTCTCCCTTGATCTGTCTCTCCCGCCTAAAATTTGGTATAGAATTAAAGCTGAGATTATATACAAGGTTTATGTCAGGTGAGGAAGTAAATATCCCTTTTCGTTTCTGCAGCCACGTTTAACCTGAGAGTCTGAGTTTTCTGATATTGGGGATCCTGTCTCTTGTGTTCACTTCTCTTTCTCAACACCCACTACAGTGCTTATATATAATACAGTCATTATTTTTTGGATGAATCAATTCATGGGTCATTGAGTGACTGTGAATCCTGGCTGAGTAAATACTATTTTACTTATAATTCCAGAGTGAGTGTCTTACTCAGTGTCACCCACTGACAGTGCATTTAAGTTTGAACAGCCATTTAGTTACATCAAGAGTAATTGCCCACTGCTGTTATGGATGTGATCCAATTCCTAGGGGAAAAAAAAATACTCATATGCATTATAAAAGCATAATTTCAACTAACAGTAAGTGGCTTCCCTGCAAATCCTTCCTGACAACAGAGCAGTAAAACTTCCCTAATACAGCAAGAGTGACTCACCTTTTCATTTCTGAGTACAGTTCCTTCCAGCTTAAGTATGACATTTACTTCAAAGATAAAACCAGTCCCATCCAAGTAAATGACATCTGGACTGCTCTTCAAGGATGAGCACTTTATTGGAATATAGGCACTTGGCAGAGTAAATACATGGTTACAAGTGTTTTAAGTGTTTTAAGTTTATTTGCTGTATACAGTGACCATAAAAGTAAAACCACAGTGTAGATTTTTTTTTAATCTTAAAGTTGCAGACTTCAGAAAGCAAACCTCCAAGCCTATCTGTTAATGACAAAGTAGAAAGGCACATGTTACCAATATTTTCTTTTTTAAGAGCAGAATATATTTGAGGGAAAGAAAAGAAAGCTTCTGTCCAAGAGAGGGACAGAAGGGGGCCTGAGTGGGTTACCCCCCAACGTTTGCACCTAGGGAAGCTATTACTTTTTGAGTCAGGGATGTTCTTCTGTTCCCCATACTAAAATTGTCATGGAGCTCATATCACTGAACACTTTTTTTGTGGTGCCCGCCTGAACCCAAGAATTTGTTTGTGCTTGGTAAGTGCTCTAATACTGAGCCACAACCACCGCCCATGGAGCAGTGCTTCTAATGAATTATAATCACTTTTTACCTGGAAGGATGGTTAAAAACCCTCTGAAATCACTGGTTCTCATTGGGAGAACTATAAATCCAGACTTGTGAGTCCTTCAATTAAATGCAGAGTATCTCACTAAAGATCTCCAGTTCTCACATACAGCCTCTTTAATAAAGGTTTTGGATAAAATGGAATCTTACCCTCAATCTCCAAAACACTTTAAAAAACAAAAGAATTTACTGTGCATAATGCAAAGCGCTACTGTCTGCTCCAAGTGAAACAGGAAAAATCCACAAGCCATTTTTTCAAGGAAAATACTCTTTCTTTGTGAAAGGTCAGTAATAGCATACCTGGTATAAAGTCATGGGCTTTTTCCCAAGGACCACATCTTGAGGTTTTACACATTTCTACAGACTTTGCCCATAGCAGAGATCCCTGGAGCAGAGCACTGAGACTTTCCATGCTGCTCCTTCAAATCATAATGACCTCGCTCCCACCCGGAAACCATCAAAGCAGCACACACACATCCGTATGAGAAGGAAGGAAAAGGCCTGATAACATGAAGTGACCCCTTCAACACAGTAACACACGGAAGATTTCGCGCACCTGTTTCATACTCCCTTTTCAAATGTAACAATAGTCCTGCTCATGTGAAAGAACTTGTCTTTGTGAAATACGTACAGCAAGTCTTTGATTGTGTTTTCCAATATGTTCTGGTATCTAGTGCCTCGTTTCAGAATGGATAAAGGAAAGGTACCAACATTCATTCATCTAATGCGCTGAAATGAACTCTCTTAGGATTGGAAAGTCTCCTAGCTTTCCAAGAGGTCCACAAGAAGCACTGAGGTGAGCACAGAAGGGAGGCTGGGAGGCTCTGGAGAAGGGTGGGCCGGAGCTGGGGCTCCATGTATCCACAGTTCTCCCAGCGAGAGAGAACTGGGGCTGAGCACTGCTTCTTCAGCTCCTTGCCTTGCTGGGCAGTGCTTCTGGCCATCTGGCCATCTGCCTTTTGGACTCTGGACTTTTTTTAAGGGAAGACAACATGGGCAGGAAGCCCGAAGGAAAACATCTCCCTGCCTAACAGCAAGCCCCAGACAGCCCTCGCAGAGCAGCGCGCTGGGTGTTCAGTTCCTGCAGTTCCTGAGCACCTGTGCGCCAGTTCCAGAGCTGCACACCAGGGATATTAAAGTTACTTGACATGCAGGAAGCCATGATTTAGGATGTAGCGTTTTAGCAGGAAACACAAATGACTAAACCTGAATTTTAGTGCTTGAAGAAAGGAGCTTCTAGGAGAGTCAGGAAGTAAACATAATTTCAGGCAGGCGCTTGCACCTCTGAGCTATATCCCTGGCTATAATTTCAATACACCAGGGTAAATGCCAGGATATGAGTAAGCAGGGACCAAGGGAGAAATGATCTCTACCTTCCTTAATTGTGATGGGATCCTTCATACATCTCAGGGTCTAAACACTAAGAAAAGTTGAGGTAATTCAATATGAAACTATGCTGATACTGATTATTATTAATCCTCTATGATTTAGCTACACAAGAAATTCTTCATGGGAAGACCATCGAAGGAAATATTTTATTTCCTGGTTAAATGGTTGAACTGTGGAACAGATTCTCTAAAGAACTAATATACGTATGTTTGGTAGTGATAATCAAAACAAGCTCGTACATAGTATGTTGGAATGTCATACTAAAATTTGTGAAAGGAAACTTCAAGATATAGTACCTGGAGCTGAAAGTCTCAGAGAATAATCTGGTGTTTTTCTAAAGAACAATCTTTTTTGTAGATTTGTGCAAGTAAGTCCATTCCGTTTTTAACATTAACAGTTACATTTTACTATCCATTTAGAAGAAACATTTCTTTCTGTTTCCTTTCAGAAAGAAAAGAACAGTGACCTTCTCATTCAGGGTATCACCAGTGGCTGAGACCTAACAGGGATTCACTTAATTTGCTGAACAACCAACCAATGATTTCTAATTTTGGTGACATTTGGAAGTTGGTGACCTATGCCTTGGCTTTTGTATTCATGCTTTTATTCATTCATTCATTCATTCCCCATCTGAGAACAAACCAGGACTGTTTTGAGTGGGAAAACTGGCATGATTTCCCACGAATTGAGTGGGAAAATTGGTTCCAAAATTGGCACCATTTCTTCTTCTAATCCTTATGGGCCTTTAAATTTATCCAAGACAAATCACTTTTTCTTTTTTCTTTATTATTACATCTCACACAGTGTGTGGCATGCAGAAGCTATTCAAATAATGTTTGTTTAATTAGTAGGCGTTAAGCTTGATAACTTAGCTGAGCTCTTTGCATAGTCTAAGGCTAATTTGGAATGCTTTCAGGCTTATGCTTGCCAATATAATTTCCTTCAAAGGTGATTAACTGATAAAAATCAGCACAATCAGTTAACAAGAAGTTGATAGCAGAATCAGTAACAGTCCCATAGACCACAGCCTTTCTCCCTTCGGAGACCTCCACCGGGTACGAATGGTTCTGCAGGCTGCACATGTCAGGGGTGACCGGTTCTCATGACCGTCCCCTTCTTGCAGCCCGACTAGGCACAGATGCTGAGTCCCTAAGAGGCCAGGAAGCTGACAGAGTGAATGGTGAGGCAGAAATTACAGGATACATTTGCATTCTTACAAAAAGTTAAAAAGCCTTAAAGTGCAGCAGAAAATCGCACCACTGAAAAGTGTGGAATCTCGAGAACTGTGCTCCTGCTGTTTCAGTCTCTGTTGCAGTACCGCCGCCTCTCCTGGGCCCCGCCGGCTCCGTGTCAGCCCAACACTCCAGTGCCTTTGTGACTCCTATGAAAATGCTAAAGCAATAAGGGATGGTAAGGCAGTTCAGTTCCACAAAGGTTGGCCTCTGTGCTCATAGCCTGTGTGCATTTTCTCTGGCTTCATTATTCAGGTTAAAGAAATACTTCATAATTTGTTTTTCAGGTAAATCACATGCAACTCCCACATATACCCATAAGTGTAACCCTTTGACTTTGTTCAAAGAAAGACTTGCCACGCTGCCTCTCACTCCTCCGAGGGCTGCTCTGGGAGGCTCTCCTGGCAGCTTCCTCCCTCCTTCACATCATCTTGAAGTGAATCTGGGGCATCTGTGTTTGGAGCACTCTCAGCCACCCACTGACACTCATGAACAGGGGCAGGCCGCACAGCCTCCGTATCCTCGCTGGTCACAGCTGGGGCCGCGACACTTCCCCCTCCCACTGCTTCTTGTTCCTCGAGAACCTGGCTCTCCCCAGCGCAGATGGGGTCAGAATGGACAGTGCCACCTTCTTGACACATGGCCTGGCCCTCTACAGCACTAGCCGGGGCCTCATCTCCTTCATGGGCATCCAGAGCGGCAGCCCTCACTGCAAGCTCCTGCTCACAAGATTCTGTAGCCTCTGTTGGCTTTGCAGTAGGGTCCGGGCAGCTGGTGTCCTCGGTGAGGTCTTTGGTGAGGTCTCCGATGAGCTCGCCACAGGCCGGCTGAGGAGCAGGGCCACTCACCTCAGGAAATGCCCCCAAGTCCACCTCAGGAGCCTCAGCCTCTGGAGGAGGAGAATGCGCTTCCCTCTCACTGCCTTCACTTTCCTCATGACTGTCCTCCTGGGGGGCAGCTGCCTGACTGGCCTCTGTGTTGATTTGGGTTTTCTCCTCTTCTTTTTCATTTTCTTGGAGAATCAGTGTCTCCTTGTCTGCGTCTTTTTCAACCCCCACAGCACACTCCACCGGCACTTCCACGGTCACCGTCACCAACTCTCTGAGCTCCTTCAAGGACTGTGAGGCCGAAGTGGGTTCTGGCTTTTCATGGGCAGGCTCCTTGTCCTCAGCAGTCCCTCCCAATTCTGACTCTGATGAGCACACGCCCAGGGGTTCTTCCATGTCCTCGGCGGCCACAGGAGTCATAGCAGGGTCATCTGTGCTTGAGATAGTCACCTGCTCATCCCCAGCTAGGGCCGAGCTGGGCTCAGGGAGAGAAAGACTTTCTTGTTTGGCCAGTAAACTGGGATCCTCAGGCTGCTGCTTTTCCTCCGGCTCCTGGAACACTTCATTACTTGGGGTCTCACTCTCTAGAGCTCCAGGCAGAACGGCAGACACCGTCCTGGCAGGGCTGGCCTGGTGTGATCCAATGCTGGGTTTTAGATCTGTTAAGCTGGACACACTTTCACTAGGCAAGGCCAAGTTGTCTTCAAATAAGTTATGTTTCTTCAAGATCGCGGCCTCCTTTATCACTGAAAAATACAAGACACAAAACTTGATAATAAGACTTCCTGGACAATCTAGATTTTCTGATTTTATCCAGAAGCCGAACTCTCCATAAACCTCCCTGCCTATGCAAATTCTCAACTTCAAGATACATTTGCTAGGGCATCTAATACAGGACTGACACTGAGAAGCCAGAGGTGAATAAAAGACGTCCTTTGCTTTCAAAGTCTATAACAATACCACACATACCACTCAGAGAGGCCCCCTGTGATGTCTAATTAGCTGCTAATACATGTAGCTCAGTTTGTTCACCTAGACTGGAGCACATTTAGGACGGGGGCAGGTATTTGACTTTTCTGTTCTTCTGTACAGCACAGTCCTGAATGTGTAATAGGTTCTCAGTCCTGAGGATGCAGCTGAAAGAGTTTTTGGCAGGGTGTGGGATCCAAAATGAAGATATATGTACATCTACTTTGGCCTCAGAGGCCTTAGGAACTGCAAAGACAGTAACACCAAAAACAGCTGACATTTTCGATAGCAGGTCTCTGGCTCTGGCTGTACAGGCACTGTGGTACCCAACACCACCACATCCTAGGCGATGCCGTTCCTATCACAGACAACGCAGATTTGTGTGTGCAGCATAGGTTTTTAGCAGCCGGAAGTAGATTTTCCTGCTCTAACAAAGTCAACATATTATGACAGTTTTCTCCCAGAGGGCAGAAAGGTGTCTGAAGGGAAGAAGCCTGAGAGTTCACCCAAAGGTGCTCATGGTGGGCTGGCCATGCTTTGCCTTAGCCCTTCTTCGTGCAGAGGCCTTGATGACTCTGAGGCATTCCCTAGCTCCTTCGATCCCTGTAGGTAGCTATGTGATGTGGGGCTTGCACTTGGCCAGTTTCCCCTATGGAGGCCTTTGGGTGACATGCAAGACCTCCTCCATGGAGACCTGGTAAATTTCAGGTCCACAGCTTGACGATGGCCCTCTTCAGCATATTTTTATCAGCTTTCTTATTTACACTCCAATCCCAGGCAAGGCCGGACTCCCCTGCACCCTGGGTGCTGCTGTCCTAACGAGGCCCGCAGGGCACTGTGTTATCCCAGACTTTTTCTGTGTGGCCGAGTGGAGGTGAGGAATTTGCTGAGAGAGCAGAGCTCAGGCCCTGCTGCTGAAGACATTTCTGCTGTACCCTGGGCGGGGTCAGGAGCCTGTGCCTAAGTGCCCTTTCTCCTTAGTTCTGTCTGCCACAATGCAAGACAACAGCCCTGCATAAGACACCTTAAATTTACTCCCTCTAAACTGTAGTTTTTTCATCTGCAGAAGGAAGCTTAACATTCCCATCTCAGAGTTTGCATTGGCATTGAAAGAACAAATACGTGTAATGTTTAAAGGACCAACACGGTGTGCACCAAATCACAAATGTCCGATTCTCTCCTCTCCTAGATCCCTCCCTGAACACCAGTGCTGACTTCCTTTTTCCCTGTCTTATCTCACAGCACTTCTGAGTTCCATTTCAGGAGAGCGCCCTCTGTGGGGAGTCCCCTCCAGCACCAGGTAAACCCTTCTTACCTTTCAGAGTCTCGTCAAGAAGAATCTGATGTAAAATCTCTTCATACACATTTTCAACGTGGATCATATTGGTATGATCTGCAAAGATGAACTGCTCATACTTCTGAAGCTCCTGGAGAGCAAAAGACAAGAGAAAGAGGAAAAGGCATGAGATCCCTGTTCTCGGAGGAGACAGGGAAAGGACGGTTCTCACTGGGGGTCCCCTCCTCAAAAGGTAGGGGCGAAGGGCAGTGTTGGTCCATAGGCCAAGATGCTGAAATAGGTCAGCCCAACAGTCTTTGACTGTGTTCCCTTTGGTCACTCGGCTGAGAACCACACATGACCCTGATACATCTACTCGCGGGTCATGATAGGGTGACAATTGGCACCTGGGGGCTCCCTTCCGTTTCCTCACACTGGGAACACCTCACATACATTGGAAGAGAGAAGACGGAAGAAACTTTGGTTATCTCAAGGCCTTGTCAGTAGGTCTGAGACCTTTTTCTCTAGCACAGCCAAAGTGTTTCCTTCTTGGTTTTTTTTTTTTTTCTCCGGTACCGGGAACCGAACTCACGACCTTGCGCTTGCCAGGCAGGCGCTTTGCCGCTGAGCTAAATCCCCAGCCCGTCCTTCTTGGTTTTTTATTTAAGGTCAAAGCACTTTACCAAGGCATGGGTTATACACAGTAAAACACACAGGTTTTTAAGGAACAGCTCAATGACACTGAATATGCAATGATACCCATGTAACTATAACCCCGATCAGGATGAAGGACACTTCTATCACCCCCCAAGACACCCCCAAACCCCCTTCCAGCCCACAGCCCTCCAAGAGGTAAGCAGAGATCTGACAGCTTATGGTAGGTGAGCTTTTGCTGAGACACGCACTTTAGAGGAATGAATCAGATTGTTTCGTGTTTACTTTTCAGATTTTCCCTAATTGCTGCACAGATCAGTAGCTCTCTTCCTTTTATTGATAAATAGCATTCACTGTATGGATAAATCAACATTGTTTATCCACACTCCTTTCACCTGGGATTTCTCTACTTCTTGACCACGAGGAGTATATCTGTTATGAACATGTTTATACAAGTCTTTTTTTTTTTTTTTAAGCCTTACTTATCTAGGGTGTATCCCTAGGAGTGAGGTTGCTGGGTCACAGGGTAGACGTACGCTTAACCTTGATTTTTTTTTTTTTTCCCTCTTTTTGAGACAGGGTCTTGCTATGTAGTTCAGGCTGGTCTTGAGCTCACTTTGTAGCCCAGGCTGGCCTCGAACTCACAAGGATCTTCCTGCCTCAGCCTCCCGAGTGCTAGGATTACAGGTGTGTGCCACCACACCCGGCCCTATGTTTAACCTTATTAGAATGTGGTTCTTTTTCTGATTGGAGAGTCTCTAGTCAAGCACACACATTCTCTCCTTTCCCTCTGACAATCATGCTCCCTGATTTCTTCTAAGACAGCCAGGCATGCTGCAAAATCCCTTAGCCTTCCCTGCTTCCCAGAATTTCCAAATGGTTTGCCCCTTAGCAGCATAATAGGGCAGAGATTCACATGTATCAAATCATATCCCCAATATTAATCCAGTAAACCTTGCACGTAGTGGTGCTGGGAGAGGGCTCTCCATATGTGGCCTTTAGAGAACCAGGAACTTCACAGTGAGACTTGATTCCTGTTGCCAAATACACAGGTTTTCTAGCAGGTGATCAGAAGCTACCACCCTCAGATAACTTTCAGTGCTAAGGCCTAGAGGTGCTGTGGCCTAGGACTGTTATTACCAGCAGGTAATAATGGGGTCCATTTAGACCCATTGGAGAGGTAAGCCACAGGTCTCAGGAGACACGAGACTCAGTGAGCCTTACAGGGTTTACGAGACAGGACTGATGCAGACACAGAAAAAGCACTACTCAGGGGCCTGGACACTACTGAGGACTCTCTATGGGACCCTGCACAACCACGTCACTGCTCTGAACTTCTGTCTTTTTCTCTGTTAAATGTGGTACACAGGCTCATGCCTGGAACATCCTTTCTTCTTCCCTTCCTGGTCCTTATTCCCTTGACTGCCCTTCAGCCCTCAAGCCTGGATGAAAGCATAGCTCTGGAGTTCTCTGAGGGTGGCCGCCTCTGATCCCATACGCACAGTGGGGCACACTCCCTTGAACTCCTGTGTGCCTGTCTTCTGCCTCTCTACTGTGAGTTCTAGAACACAAGGTAGGCTGGCACGGTGCCTGGACCACGTAGATACATTTTAATACATGTTTTCAGGCTAGAGGCCCTTTAAATTTTTTACCAACTAAAGAATTCTGCAGGAAGGAATAATTAAGGGGCATTTATACTGTGGTGATGTGCCCAGCTTTACAAACTAGGTCTACGCTGAATTGAATGAACTGTGTCATATGCTAATTCTCTCAATCAATTAAATTGGGATCCTGAGGGTGAATCTTGAGACTGCAACCAGCCTCCAGCTTCTACTCGGCCAACACACTGCCCTGCAGGCCACGACTCTCCTTCATAATCATGGCTTGCAGCAGCTTCAAATAGTGCTGTTAGTTTCAGTAAACAAATCCTATTGGCTGTAACACAACAGGTACCTCTCTGTAGTCACGTTACTTAAAATCTTGCCATATGTAAGGTCAAGCGTCGGAGGAGTGGACGTGAGTCCTACTATACTGCGGAACAGCTGGTCTCATTAGGTATTCTACATCAACCATTAGTGCGGCTCCAGTTCAGATCACTACCCTGGGAGACAGCCTCTGGACCAGGCCTTGGCAGATTCTGGCAGCTTCTTGGTTTTGTAAGTAAAGTTTATTGGATTTTGTTGTTGGTGTATCATATCTGGCTGCATTTGTGCTTGTAATAGCAGAGCTGAATGATCGCAAACAGAAATAATGTGGACCGTGAAGAATGAAATATTCACTAGCTGACCACTTCCAAAAAAGTTCACCAATCCCTCCCTGGTCTAGTCTATTGTTTGCAATTACACTATAGCAGAAGAACTCATTTGAACTCCAAAGATAATAAAGTAGATCTTTGGAGCAACCCATCCTCTTACTGGTTTGCACGTGGACGCCAGTGCCTTCTGCATAGTGGGAAGCGTGATTTGAACCAGTGCCTCCTGAAAGATCTTCTTCCGGACAGTACTGCTGTCATAATCATATTGCTGTTAATAGAGAAACATCTGCTAAATAGTGGCATTAAAATCTGTCAGCATTCACTTAAACAAAAAGCCCAGCCACCCAGGTCATCTTCTCCCTCCTAATATCTGAAGACTTGCATTTCCAAGGTCTCAGAGGTCTTTCTATCTAAATCCTGCTCAGACCAGGTATAGGCTGTGACAGAATGACCCATCTCTCCCCTCCTACAGATACGGAAGCTGAGGCAAGATCAAAATAGAGAAGTGGCATTGAGGTTATAAAGAAGCTGGGGATGGAACTTGGGCGTGAATGTTTTCACTACTCTTTCTGGGCAGGCCCATGGCAGCCACAGTCACCCATTACTCTTGGTCTTCCAGGCAGAGCAATGAGTAGAAATGATACTACAGGGTAAGAGAGAGCCTGGCTCTGAAATCCATTAGCACTGTGGCCTACTAACCCCCCCAAAGAAAGTTAATGTCTAGAACAAGGAAAACGATGATTCTCTCTGACGTGCACCAAACATCCGAAACTAGAGGCCAGTGTTTGATTTTAGATGTCACCACAAGGGGAACACAGACAACCTGGGGAAGGGGGCAGGCACGGAGCAGCATGATCAAGCCAAATGAAGACTGGCTGGTTAGACATATGAGGTCATTCACACTGGAGATACTAATTTAAGGCAAAAATTATAGCTCTGTACAATTGACCAAAAGGTACTATGTGGGTGAGGAAGGACTATGAAGAAAGGATGGAAACAATTACCAGTGATCTAAAACAAGGAAGTCAAAAGTGTCGAGAGAGGGAATGGGCTGTTCTGAGAGGGAGAAAGTGTCCTAGCACTGGAGGTGTCCGACCACTAGTGAAACCACGCCTGGCAGGAACCTTCTTAACATGAGCAATGGAATTGAAATAGCATCACTGGAATTCCATTTTCAGACTCAAGGTCCTAAGATGTGGGTAGCTTTGCTTTCTTCCTCTCCTTCTATCTGCTGAAACCCCTGGCAGTGGTACCATCTTTTCCTTCAGCTCAGGTGCTCATACATTAGTATCTGTGTGACCATCATCACCACTGCTTTTTGTCTCAGTGATGTGCTGACCCGAGTTCTGCCTAGGTGTGAGGCATCGAGATGAGGTGTGAAATTCAGGGACAACCCTGGGCTTGGTGGGAGTTTCATCTTCTGTTCCAAACCATTATTTAAGATAGGCAGAAGGCAGTAAAAATATTAGTAGACTAGACTAAAGGATAGCTTTGGCTCTAAGATCGCCATGACTAGCCTGTTAAGCTTGAGTCAATTTTTGGAGGGTCCATTTCCTCATTGGGATATATTCTAACCTTCTCACAAGTTCTTGTGATGATCAAATGAACCCTGGTAGGTTTTTAAAATTTTTTAATGTACCAATATGTACAATCTCTTATTATAGCAATATTTAAATGATGATGTGCATTAAAAGCAATTTCATATGGCAGGTATCTTTTCTTTGGGTTATTTCCTCGCCCTTGATGTTCTGATTTTTTTCTTAATATGTTGGCAGTTTAGTTTTATTATACTGCCAACTCTTTGAAGAGCGAGGCTGTGCCTTGCCTATTTTTATAGGGCAAACAATACCTGTCATAATGCTTGTAATGTGCAGCCTATAAACGTTTGTTAGCTTCAATTGCTGTGAAAGTAAACTGGGCCCTGTCCTTCCAAAGGTGGGCAACAATGTTAAGAAACTGTGGTCCCTAAAGTAGCCACTAGATGGCAGAACAGGCGAGAAAGTCAGGCTGGGGAAATCGCTGCAAGATGAAGTCACTTTGGGGAGGGGTAGGCGGAGTGAGAAGGAGAGTAGGGTATTTTGCACTTATCAGAATAAACAAGGGCCACCTTCCTGTTTGATGCTTCCCATAGATGAGACAAAAGTTTTACCTTGAGGACTCGGAGCTTCACCTTCTCAATGGCGGCAGCAGTTCTGGAGGCCTCTCCTTGGAGGTGTGGGAAGAGCAACTGCTCAAAGGTGAACACCGCGTTCTCCATCAGCTGCAAATCCAAACACACAGACACCCGCACCGTCAGCCGTAGGTCAGCCTGGCCTGGCTCAGATGAGCCATCAGGAGTCCTCAGGCTCTGCTCTGGGGTGACACAGGGTGACCCCCTCATCCCACTGACGTGGATTGTGAAACTAACAACCATGTGGTCACCAAGGCATCACTAAGAGGCCAGGAAACACCCACCACACACAGGTATAGACGTCGGCACGCATGCAGATCTTTTTCTCATCTCCTCCTCCTCCACCAGTGGGGAAACCCAGGGCCCCGAGACAGAGGATACATCCTCCCCTGCGGCTGCAGCCACAGTTAAAGAGATGAGGCGGGAGCCTTCTGCAGCCATTCTGGCAGCACCCTCAGACTAGGTGGACATAAACCACTTGGTAGCATCCCCACCCCGGTTCCTTCCACCCCACCACCTTATATCCCTCTTTTTTCTCTGCAAGGCGGGGAAGGGAGGCAGGTCAGGGCTTGGTGGCCGTGGCTGACATGCCATGGGTCAGGAAATGGAGTCAGTTCAGATACCGTATTCTCTGCAGTTGTGTCTGTATCTGTTTCTGGGGGTGCACTATTACCAAAGGACCTGCTGATAAACTGCTGCCCAATTTGTTCTTTGTTCAACTTAGTCTCTTATAATTCAGCGGCTGGGTAATAAGATACATTGCTTATCCTACCATAACTTTTAAAGAAAGCGAAAACCACTCCTGTCTTTCCAAACCTGCGGTCAATCCCAAAGCATTCACACAAACCTTTATCACAGCACTTACAACATTGTGGTGAACTAATCCAAGAATCTATCTATCCCCTGGGGTGGGATCAGGCAGTGTCCAGCCCACAGTGAGCTCCCGCTAGGGCGTCTGTGGTCAGATGGGACTGTGTCTGACCACACCCTTGCTTTATTTATGAAACACTCTAATATGGACGAGTCTGTGGTATGCATTCCTGCCCCTGGTGAAAAAATTCCTTCGGGGAGAGGGAGAAGCAACCCATCCAGAGAACTCAGATTCAAGCAGGAAGCCGGGATGGAGTGACTGGTTGATTGGTTGATTCTTAACGAGGTTAGGGAATTACAGTAATTGGAGCCAGTGCTTCTCAATCCTGGCTGCATATCAGAAAGAGGAATGGGAATGGGGGGAAATTTTCAAATGCGGAACTAGAGATCATCATGTTAAGTGAAATACGCCAGATTCAGAAGGACAAATATCACCTGTTTTCTCAAACGTGGACGCTTTTAAAAAGGGGAGGTGGGGGCTGGGGATTTAGCTCAGCGGCAAAAGCGCCTGCCTGGCAAGCGCAAGGTTGTGAGTTCGGTTCCCGGTACCAGAGAAAAACAAAAACAAAAAAAAAACCAATAAAAAGGGGAGGTGGTGTGAAAACAAAAAGAGACTTTGGGAAGGGAACAGGGTCAGGTAGAGGGCAAGGGGGGTGACAGGGTGAAAATGGTGTATGTTATATACATATACGAATCTGCCAATACGAAACCCATTCATCTGTGCATAACCAATATGCACCAATAAAAACAACCTACAAATATATACACACACATTTATACACAGAGAGAGAGAGATTGATAGATTGATTCAGAATCACTGGGAATGAGGTATAAGCATGAGTATGTCTTAAAAATTCCCCAGGTGTTTCTAATATGTAGTTAAGCACTGATTTGTCAATTACATAATTACTGATCAGTACTACTTTATTTATCTGAGACATTTCTGCCCCGTGATGTTCATCAACATGGAAGAAAGATGAAGGCAGCCGGAAGCACAGAGTGTCCTCGGTCAAGAGGACTGAGGAAGTGCGCCTCACGAAACGCCGGGACTCCGCCTCCTCTGCCAGCGTGTGCATCCTGCCCTCTCTTTCACACACGCATGCTCTGCGCACTCCGGCTGCTCCTACCTCCTGCATGTAGTTCTGGGTTCTCTGGACCACCAGGTCGACGTGTGGGAATCTGAAGCGGCTCCTGAGATCCTGCAGGTGCTCTTCGAGCAGGTTGACCTTCGTGTAGCAAGGTTCCATCTTCACGGAATCTAGCGGCAGATGCATAAGCTGGTCTAGATGCTGCAATTTGATGAAGGGAAAAAATATACATCTTCAGATACAGAAGCCGTATTTCATATATATTCCATGATACCTACGTTCAAAACAGTCACAAGTACGTTATTAGAATCACTACTGGGACCACTACATCTGCGACATCTCATTTCTCTCCTGCCGTGGGCCACCGAGGCAGCTCCACTGCTGTGTAGGAAAGCGTCGAAGAACCAGCCAGATGAAGGGAAGACCCAGGGGTGCCCTAGGTGAGGAGGTGTCCAGTCTCCTTAAGTTCTCAGTGGACTCAGAGCTCCGGCTTCAGAGCTCACGCACTAAGCATAGAATTGCTGCTGGGCCCATGAGCGTCCAAAGCTCTCTTTAAAGAGTGGCCTCCCTCTCAATCAACCCTGAGGAGGTTAGGACACTCCCTGGACTCCTAGACGCTGAGCAAAAAGCCAGGGCTCCCCACTATTCTGAGGTTGTCGGTGCCCACAAGGTTTCTGTCGGTCTGCTGCAGGCTGGTCCGTGGTGCTAGTGGATGGGGAGAGGAGGCGAGGAAGCGGCCAGAGGTCTTATAAACTAGGGTCCCTTCCCACTGAGTTTACACAGCTGATAACTTCATCAGCAAGGACACAGGGCTTCCCATATCAGACCATCTGCCGAAGTCAAGTGCTATCAGCAGACTCTAAAACTATAAACATTGTTGTAACAGAGGGCCTTCTGTTTCTAAATTTATTTTGTACTTTTTTTCTTTTTCTTTTTCTTTTTTTTTTGGTCTTTTTGAGACAGCGTCTTGCTATGCAGTTTAGGCTGGCCTTGAGCTCACTTTGTAGCCGAGGCTGGCCTCAAACTCGCAATGATCCTCCTATCTCAGCCTCCCGAGGGCTAGGATTACAGGTGTGTACCACCATGCCCAGCCCTTATTTTATACTATTTTAAAACACTGAATACTGGAGGGTTAAAATGAAAAGGACAGTGGGTAGAGAAGGAGAAGACAACATTCCTGAGGATGAAGGCTCCAGGGAGAACTGGAGGAAAGGCTGGGTGAATGAGAATAATACAGGACGCACTGCAGACAGGGATGTCAAAAGGGCCTGTTCCTGTTGGAATTTAAAAGGGAAAGTGATTCCCTTTAAGAAGTGAATTATGAAGGGGTCCAAAGAAATGAACTTAATAATCAAAAGCACACTGCACAATTCTCCTCTTGTCATACAGTAAGGAAATGCATCATTTAAAAAATGTCAATTAAGCAGGCAGGACAGGAAAATGGGTTGCCTCTCTGCTCCTATCAGATGGTCCAGTGATTACACCTGTCACCAGTGGTGCTGTGGAGAAGGTCCCCAGCCAGACACAATTAGTACAATATAAAACTTACAGCAATGGAAACATCTGTCAACATGAGAAATATACCCTTCAACGTAAGAATCTACCCCAGAGAAATAAAATCACTGGGACATAAAGATATATGCATGGACAAGGTTATTTATTTCAGCTTTGTTTGTGTGCCAGCAGTAGTGGGATGGCTGAACAAGTCATGATGTTTTCCTACACGAGATGCTATGTAGCCATCACAAAGAATGATTGAGAACTGAAACACTTCACTTGGAAATAGTTTCATGAAGTAGTTTTGTAAAACTGATAAGCAGAATAGCATATAAAATATGGGCCCATTTTTCTCAAAGTAAACAATGTAAGAAAATAGCCTATGAGAGAGAAGAATGTGAGAGAGTGTGCACATGTGTGATTTTATATATATATATAGGAAAGCACAGAATGGCAAGGGCAAGGCTGATGATGCTGGCAATTCCAGGGGAGGCAGTTGGTGTCAGAAAAGAAGGGAGAGTAAAGGCAAGTTTAAAAAAATAAGCCGTGATAGGAAACCTCAAAGCATTTATGAAATGATCTTGTTTTCTTGGTTTTGGGGTGTTTTTTTGTACCAGGAATCAAACTAAGGACCTTGGGCTTGCCAGGCAGGTGCTCTGCCACTGAGCTGTCTCCCCGGCCCTATGATCTTGTTTTTGTACAATTATACATGTATGTTGGCATTCAAAACGAAGGCATAGCGCAAAGGTGACTATAGCTTACAACTATTGTATTTTTCTAAAGAACTATAGGAGCTTGAAGATTTATCATAAAAAATGGTAAGTGTTTGAGGAATTTAAAATGTTAATCAGTCCAATTTAGTCATTATGCCCTGTATTACCTTATGATATCCCCAAGATATACACAATTATGATGTGTTGATTAAAAGGAAAATTCATTTTTAGTGGTATCAAGAAGGACGGAAGAAAGGGAGAGGCAGAAAGAGGGAGAGGAAGACAGGAGGAAGGAGCAGGGAAGGAAGGAGGGGAAAAGGAAAAGAACCAAGTATCCAATATTATCTACTGGCTTGTAGGGATGTTCGTCATGATGTGTCTCGCATAAAACCAAGCCATGTTACAACATCTTATGCCACTGACTCTCAAACTTGACAGTGCTCCAAGTCTTCTGGGGGGGTCCTCTTAAAACATTCCCAAAGGCCTCACCCCCCAGAATTTCTGATTCACTAGATTTGAGTTGGGAGTAGAGGAGAACTAATGATATCAGTGGTGTGATTAATTATATACATATATAAAATATTGAATATATTGCTTCACTTGTACAAGCACGTTATTATTTTTGAAATAATAACACCTGGCTCTCAAGCAGTGATGCAGTGGCTGAGCTGCTCTATGGGTGAGAAACCACTAATAAGAAAATTAGGTGGATGAGCCTGGTGTGGTGGCGCACCCCTGTAATCCCAGCAATCGGGAGGCTGAGGCAGGAGGATCATTGCAAGTTTGAGACCAGCCTGGGCTATAAAGTGAGCTCAAGGCCAGCCTGAACTGCACAGCAAGACCCTGTCTCAAAAAGACAAAAAAAAAAAAGAAAATTAGGTGGATGGATTAGGTCCATGAATGGGGTCATTGGACGGATAAAATAGCAGAAAGAAGGAAAGGAGGTAGGAAAGAAGGAAAGGAAGGAGGAGGGAGGGAGGGAGAGTGAGGAAGGAAGGAGGGAAGGAAGGATGGAAAGAAGGAAGGAGGGAAGGAGAGAGGGATGGAGGGAGGCGGGACTGGCACCATGGAAAAGACAGCCCTAGAAGCCCACCTGCAGCAGCTCCTCAACCTTGAATCCTACCTCCTTTAGCTGGGTGCTGTCCTTGGTGGTCTGAAAGCTCTGGCTGAGTTCATCCACTTCTTTTTCAAAAAGTGAGCGTACTTCACTGAACCCAGAGCTCACGGGCCCCATGAGCTCTTCCAGAATGGATGCCAAGAATGGTTGCACACTTTCCCCACAGGTTTTCTCTGCTGGCTGAGCCACCATTGCTGAGGAAAGAAAACAAAGTGATGTAGAGCAAAACTGCACTCAGAGGCACCAAAGCCAGGCCAGGCTGAACAGCGCCCCCTGGAGCTATCTGACGGGTAAGACCCCTCTCCACTATTCACCATCGTGTACATATCATTTGTCTCCTAGAAACACAACATATTGTTTTAATTTATTTCTCTAAGAGCTAATTGGTCAATATAATTCCATCTCTCCTACCCTAAAAGACTTTTAAAAATACAAGTAAATCTTTTCTTGGGAGGAAAATGAAACCAAATTTCATTCAGCTTGTCACCTCACCTCCAGTTAAAACAAAACAAACACGTATTTTTCTCATGAAGGTGACAGGCTTAGTGACAAAAACGCACACAGCACAGAAAATTTCTATAGGAAGATGAAAAAATGTCCCCATAATTTCCATTCTCCAGAGTGAAGTGCCACCCTTTCATTTATTAAAGAGAGTAGTAAAGACACTGCCCAGTGAGTCTGGGTAGGACAGGGAATCCGCTTAGTTCTCAGGGCAAGAGGATTCTCCCGACCAGCCCGGCTCTCAAGCAGTGATGCAGAGGGAGAGGCTGAGCCGCTCTGTGGGTGAGAAGCTGCAGAACTGAAAAGAGATGCACAGACTGGCGAGGTGTCCGACCCCTCCACTTTACAGCTGGGGACAAAATAAGCCTGGAGATGTCAGATGACCTGGCCAAACTCATACCCTAATGTTCAAAAGCAGGACCTCAAGTGTATTTTTAAGTTCTTCTTAGAAAATAAATTGCTTATGCTGCGATGAATGGCCACATTCAATTTATTTTAGTTTGCAGAACTATGCCATCGTTATGGAGGATCAGATTACTGCCTGTGATTCTGAGAATCCGAATCCCAGATAACAACACCCTCTATATTCAGGGTGGAAAAGATTAAACAGGTCATAGAACTATTAGAAAAAATCCTTTTAATCAAATACAAAGCAATCTATGACTCTTATAGAAATGACTTGCTTGATATCAAAAGGCAAATTTTTTTGCCAGGAGATTAAATTAATGATTAATTAACTTCGCTACAAAAAGCACTTCAAAAGCACCTAATTAAAATTTCAGGATAATCCTGAACACTGGCAGTAGCCAGTGATGATTTAGCAAAGCTGGCCACCTTCACCCGCAGGGCAGGGATCAGCATGGAGGACGCGGCAGGCCGGCGAGGCTCCTCTCTGCCCGCTGTGCCTGGCCTCTGGTACCACAGGGTGCTCTGGGCCCTCTCTGCACCTTCATGCAGGGTTCTGTTACCCCGGACTTGTTCCCACCACGTCTGCTTGCACACACTCTGCTCCAGTCCTCCGGTCTACTTCACATGTCACCATCTGGGACAGCTTAATGTCCTGGAACCAGCCCTGAGCTTCCCGAACTGCAGTCTGCAGGTGTTTCCCTATGGGCTGAATGAATTCCATGTCCCACACTTGTGCCCTCTGCTATTCTCAAGCGCACAGACACGCTATTATGATGAACATCTGAGTACTGCGTCGTGACACTTTCACCCACAAGCCTTGCCCCAGCAATGGCAGCTGTCGAAAGCAGTGAGCAAAGGGATGTCACCTAAAAAGCTGGGGCTCAAGGGACGGAACCTGTACGTTTTGGAACCTCAGGCAAGTTCCTTCATGTCTGCCTCAGTTTTCTTATCTGCGAAGTGGGGACCATACAAGCAATTATTTCCTGGGGTTATGGGAAGAATTAAATGAGTTTACTCTTTTCAAAGTGCTTTGAATGGACGTAGCTCTTCAGAAGCACTCGGGAACTCTGCTAGCTCCTCCTGCACTGTCGGCATTATCACCCTTGGTAAGCCCCTGAGACTAAAGGAGACCCTCCCTGGGTGGTACCCATACAGTTTTTTGAAGCTGAGATGGAATCTGCATGCTGCCTGGGAACCTCTGCCTTTCTCCCCACCCCTCTTACAGCATCTATCGACTCTTTTCCTCTGTCTCAGTATCTGTGAGGTGCTTTCTGTCTGCTACTACTTGCAAAATAATGTTGTCTTCTTTGAGTCCTCACAGCCCTTGTGCTCTGCAGAAGCACAATAAATGCCTACTGAATGGGCTGTGAAGCAGAACTAATAAAGCCCCATGGCTTTGCTTCCGAGAGTCATGTGGGAGGAAATGAAGAGATCACTACTTAATACCCCCGAAGCTTTTTCTGAAATCCAAAGCACTTTGTCAATGCACCCTTTAGTTCCCTTCCTTGTTCGAAAGGTAGGGAGCCAGAGACTAGCTTAGAATGTTGCTTGGTTACATTACTGACATCCCACTTTAAAAAGACTTGATCATTGCTTCCTTTCAAGCTTTCTTTCAGGAAACCACTAACAGTCCAGGGCAGGATCTTTTCCCATTCTATCAGGATACCTGGGAGCCACAGAGGTTTAACCAGGAGAGAATGGTTTAACTCCAGCCACAAGAATGGCCACAGCCAAGCCCTTCTGGCCCCTAGAGAACAAAATTTTGGCACCGGAGCTGGTGCCGGAGGTTTTAAATTCTGCAGAGTGTTTTGACATAGAGTAGACTCCTGATCAGTTGTGCTCGTGGAGTATCGAGGCCTGGGTAACAACACACAGAAGGCACTGGCGTGACCCGGAAAGCATCACGTGAACAGACACAGACATCACACGCTTGGGGCGGTTATGCCTCTAATCTCCTCTCAGTAGGACCTATTTCAAAAGCCCTGAAGCAAACTGGGCTGTGGTAGGAAAGGGTCTGAACTGCAGAAATTAATTTACCCAGCTGACAATCTCTTGTTAGAGTGCAAGGCTGGGGAGCAGAAGAACAGAGCTTCCATGCACTTTGAAAGCTCCCTCGCCTTGCGCAGAAGACATTAGTACACATTTTTAATTGAGGGAATGAGTGACAACCTGTGAACTGACTGGCTAAAAAGACTGTTAATAAACAATCACAGCCGGGCGTAGTGGCGCACGCCTGTAATCCCAGCACTCGGGAGGCTGAGGCAGGAGGACTGTTGTGAGTTTGAGGCCAGCCTGGGCTACAAAGTGAGCTCAAGGCCAGCCTGAACTGCACAGTGAGACCCTGTCTCAAAAAGACAAAAAATAAAATAAAATAAAATAAACAATCACAGATGAGCCGTCAAGCTCTTCCTCTGAAGTGACATTAGGTATAGTGCATTTATTGGGTCATGTTGGCCTACACAGAAAGGGGAACCATAGAACTTATCCTATAGGATCCTATGAAGCCAACTAAGGCCTCTTGTATGGGAATAGGTAAACTCATTTTGTTTGGCTTTGTTTTGCTTTGCTTTGCTCTGCTTTGCTTTGCTTTGCTAGTCAACAGCCAGACAGTAAATATTTTTTACTTTGTACTCAATAAGTTTGTGACTGAGGTTCCAACTACTCCATTCTGATGTTATTGCACAAAAGCAGCTATAGACAATATATAAATGAATGAGGATGGCTGTATTCTAGCAAAACATTATTTACAAAATCAGGTGGTGGCTTTGACCTCAGGGCCGCAATTTCCCCACCACACTCTTTTGAATCTTTGATTTCAGAGCATGACACTAAGGCAAACAGAACTTGACTGAGGTCCTCAAGTATAGAAAAATACTTAATGTTGGAGTTGGGGCTAGAAATCTGGATTTATGGATGCTCAGCAAAATTTATAGGCTTTCCTGTCAGAGTTATTCAATGGTCCAACCATTCCCTGGGAGTGTCTATATGCCAGGCGTAGTCCTAGGTCCTGGATATATACTTGAGTAAACCAGGGCAGCTGGGCTCTGCCTTTCAGAGCTTCCTGCAGAAGGAGGCAGGTAGAAGCTGTCCTCGTTCTGTATAAACTGGGTGTGATGGTGCACACGTGGAATCCCAGGACTCTGGGACACTGAGGTGAGAAGATTGTAAGTTTGAGCCAAGCCCTGGAAACTTAGTAAGACCCTGTCTCAAAGTAAAAAATAATAAGAATAATAAGACTGAAGATTTAGTTCAGTGGAAAAACCCTAGGTTCAATCCCCAATGTGGAAAAAAATTTAATATACTAAATCCTACAGGGAGGGCAGGGCAGGCAGCATCCCAATACACAGGTGCTGCCACAAGGCATAAAGCAGCTTCCTCCACCCTGTGTGCACAACACTTCCATGGAAAGGTCTGGATCAGTGATGGTGAACCTTTTAGAGCTTTTAATAGTAACAAAAACCCCACTGTAGCATGTGGGCCATAGGCTCACCACCTCTGGTCTAGGCCCTTTGTAGTACCTATGGCATGTTCCTATTTTAAATGTTATCTCTCCTCCCAATTTCCTCAGTTTACTTCTTCTGTGAAACTATGTATTGTTTTGCTTCAGTATCTGTGGGCAATTGGGTCCAAGACCCAGCCCCCACCCCACCTCCAAGGATACCAAAATCCAAGGATGCTCCAGTTCCTGATATAAAATGGTAAATGTTTTGCATATAAACTATGCACATCCATCTGTATCCTCCATATACTTTAAGTCATCTCTAGATTACTTATAATACCTAATAAAAGCTAAATGCTATGTAAGTGCAGTAGTTCTTATACTGCATTGTTTAGGGAATCTCAAAAAAGAAATCTGAATGTGCGCAGTATGATTTTTTTCAATATTCTCAATCTACACTTTCTTGAACACACAAATACAGACAAGCCAACTGTACTCTAACTATGTGTGGCTCCCTAAACATACAGCTTTTATAATTAGTAGGAGCACGGATGATCTCCACTGACCTTTGATCTTTCCAATTAAAAAGTTCTTTGAGTTCACAATCTGATCCATGTCTGAACGAATTGTTCCTTCCAGGCCCTTTGTCAGGGTTCTGCATTCCTCCTTCAAGGCACTTAATCCTTCTGAGACTTGGTGCTGAACCAGGTTGTAGGCTTCTTCCAGGAGCTGCAACGGGAGTCACATGGGAATCGTGGCTGCTTGTGTGCAAGTCCCTCACAGAGTGAAGGGGAAGGGGAGGGCTCACCACAGCCTCCCCTAACATAAACAAAACCCCGCATGCACTTGAGTTTTCTTTTAAAGTTCAAGTCTGTTTGGATTAGTTCTTATATAAGTGAGATTAAGCAGGCTTGATATAGACATTTCTCCACCCAGAGAAGGGATTATTTAACAGGAACAATAAATGCTCTAAAAAGCACAGCGAAGAGAATGTTCATCTGGAGAAGCACGGCCGGAGAGCAGTCTTACCACTTACCCCAAACCAAGCCCTCTTCCTGTCATTTTTCTTGCCCTTCATTTTAGGCAGCAGGTCTGTCTGAAGGGTTGGCAGGAGCTCCTCCATCACCAAGTTACTCAGGACCTGGAGAGAGGAGAACCCCAAAGCTGGTCAGCTGACAATGGCTAAGTCCAAGCACCAGGCCGACTAGAGATCTCACAATGGCCGTCTCTTCCCTGGGCTATGTGAACTCTATTAAGTTAAGAGTTTTGTGTGTGCACATGTGTGTGTATGTGTGTGTGCATGTGTGTGTTGGGAATTAAACCCAGGGCCTCTACCACCAAGCTACACCCAGGCTTAATTTAATTGTTTAACCCTGGTTCTGAGGCCACAGAAATCTCAACTGAGACAATCTTGGAGGGTAAACATTCCTAAACAGTCACAAAGAACAGAGACATCTGCTGACGTGTTTCCACTGCTGTCTCCCCAGTGGAAAGAACAAATTTTTCAAATTCAAAGTTTTCATGCTCAAACTAGAAGGACCTAGTGCATTTAGGATACAAGCGGAGATTTCAATAATGGCTAAGGGTTTCGGTAGCAAAGTTATGTAGAGAGTCAAGCTTGCTTTTGATGGCTTCAGTCCTAGTCAGTATCCGCTGGAACTATCATTCTTCCTCAAACCCCGTCATTATCTAACTGTGTACATTCCTATTTTCTTATATCACTGAAAGCTCTAAAATCTTTGCCATCACTGCTCTACAGTATTTAGAAAACAAAGGTAGGAGTAGTGTAAAGAAGAAAAGATGTGAACAGCCCACCTGGACTGATCAAAACCCAAGCACCCGTGCATCCTCCTGTCCGGCATGTACATCCCACAGTCACCACCACGGCCAAAAGAAAGTCTGAAGGGAATGCTGTCTCCAAAGCCACAGCCCAAGCCTCAAAGGCCCGCTGAGAAGGAAGAGAAGGTGCCCAAAGAGGAAAAAGGAATAGCTAGTGCCAGCAAGAGCGGAAGCAACTGACAGAAAATGAAGATGCCCAAATGGACCACACAGAAAGCTGAAGGGGCTGAGCAGCCCCAGTGGAGAATATGCAGCTTTAGTGGCCGTGGACTTCTGGTGACAGAAATACTAATGCTATGACATTTTATAAACTACAGAATTTTGTCTTACTTTTTTATAGCTATGTGGTTAGCACACGGAGTACTTTACTGTTGCTCTGGGGAGGGGGCGTATTTCACTAATCTACCTCTCCAAAGCTGGATGGCTACGGGGGAAAACACCTCTTCCTTCTAGTTTTGAAGTATCTTTTCTCAGCTCCCAGCAGGACGGATTCCCTGACAATGACTCACACAGCTACCTCAGCACAAACACCTTGCGGTATGGACAAACATTATCCTCTCTGTGTGCCTTCAGCACACAGTTAATTGTCTTAAGCCCAGAGACCTGCTGGATCTCGTCCACCCAAAACTGGTTACCAGTGTGTCAGGCAGGCTGGACTTGCCAGTGATGTCAGTAGGATGACACTCCTCAAGAGAGCAATGGTTCCTTTTCTTGTCAGTGGGTCTTCAGACAGATAATTCCGCCACTTTCATTTCCTAAAAGCCGGGGTTGGCTTGGGGAAAGTTGTTCAGTGTGAAATGTTAACCTTCACTCTAAATTCTCTCTGTTCATAACATCAAATGAAGACTTCACTAGGTTTTACAGTGAAGCCTTTCTGGTTTTCAGAGTCCATTGAAGAAGGGGGTTTCAAAGTTATGGGGTACTGTTAATCATCAGTCCATGTTCTGCTGGAAATATTATGATTGTTTATGAAAAATAGCTTTAATAAAGCTAGATAGAGCTTTTTTATAAAGGGAAGAAAAAGGGAAGAACAAATGCTTTGGAACAATTGGACATTTGCAAGTTATCTGTCTAAACTTCTCAGGGTGTTTTTAAAAGCTGTCTTCCTAAATATCTTCTAAAATTTTGCTCAGATCAATGAAGACTTTTCTATTAAATCTGGGCAGTGTTCTACAAGTCCACCCATTAACACAGGCCTTTCCTTCTTCACCGCTGCGCCCTGCCTTGGAACACCTCAGGCTTCAGCAGAAGGCTGTGGGCTAAGATTTACAGAAGGGCAAGAGCAGTGTTAGGACTGGAAGCAGGATGGAAAGTAGTGAATCCCTCGAGACATCTGTTTATGCAATTTAAATAATATTTATTTAAAATAACTGACTTCCTTATTCTCACTTGTCAGAAAAATTCAAATTATACTTTGGGAATTAAGGAAGACTTTTTCTGAGGCCGCTGGCCAGCCTCATGGTAGTGGGAATACTTGTGGGAATACTCATGAGCTCACTGGACCTTGCTCTAACCAGTGCTCCTGTGGTGGGGTGAAGCATGCTAGCGGATCTGAACGGGCACTCTTCCAGGGGGCAGGCGAGCAAGCTGTCCAACCTCGCTGTGTCTCTGGGTTCCTGGGAGAGCTGGCGGCTCAGCCTGGTGCTGCCGGTGGGGCTCCTGTCACCTGTACTGCGGCTCTGCCTAGAGTGATGAAGATTGTACCGGGAACAGGATTTCTGCCAGCCCTGATAATTCATGATGGAGATGTGTTTACCTTCCTCAGCTGTTCTCTGGAAGCAGCCAACAGATTAATCACGGTTTTCTAATGAATTTAGGAGAAACAATGTGCAAATTCCATGGAAATCTGCAGGTCCAACAACTAGATTCAATAAGCAATTAGTAGTCCGTGGGCCCCACCCTGGTCAGCGGGGGTACACTCTCATTTGGAACATGATGCCCAAGATTTGCCCACGTGTAGCTTGAAGAGAAGGGACTGAGAAGGCTAGAGACTAAAGCCAGAGCTTACAAGTAACGGGCAATACTATCTGGGTTGAAAAGCATTAAACTCAAGAATCATAATCATTGTCTCAATTCATTCTTTGGCAGAGATTGGTTTGAATTATAGCATGAGTGGGAAAAGATTTAAAAAGATACACATGTTATATACAAAGGCCAAAGAAAAAGAAAGTTCCATTTGGGTGGGCTTATTACAGTTTTCTTCTAGTTTTTCCCATACAATGCTCCAAGAAATTTGGTTCTATTTTACAACTTAGAGAGTTGAAAGAAAGTTTGTCTGGGAAGAAACAGCGTGTGGGAATGTATTGGAAGGGTGGTGAGCGAGCTGCCCTCCCTCCCAAGGCAGGCCCCACGTCTAGGCAGGCTGTTAGCCCTTGGCCCTGGTGTTAACTGAAGGACTGCTGGTGAAAGAATCTACTTAAAGAGGGTCGAAACTCAAGATCAGTCAACAGAAGGCCGTTCTGGTGGGAATGGACAAGACCTACAGGACCTACACTTTTCTCGTCTTGAAACTGCTGAGTTCTGTGGGAACTATGAGCTCTTGTCTCAACCATCTGCCTAATTTAAAGGTGAATAATAAATACACCAAAGAACGGTAGATATTTTATATCTTGCAGAGGGCTTCCCACGTGATCTTGTTTGATACACTTATATTGACAAGTAGAAAATATGTGGATGCTTTTACTCATATATAAACATTTTCACCTTAACAGTCTGGCAGGCGAGTTATTCTGAGATACTGCTTTGCCTGGACCCTTGCCTAAAATAATCATCACCACAAGGGCTGCCGCATTTGCTGTATGAGTCATTACTGTGAAGAGAATAATGTGAGAAGGCTGAGAATCTTCTGAGTATAGGCCCCCAAAGTAGAAAAGACTAAGACAGTGTTATGATTAAGTTGGTAGCAGACAGGAAGGGAAAAATGCAAATAAACTCAGTGCTTAAAATTTAATTTAAAAAAAATCATACTCTGAAATTCAGTTATGCTGTGTCATTTTCTGTAGCTACTAGAAAACTTCTTTGGACTCTAAACTCTTTCTATGCAGGATAATGCTGCCTCGCTATTCTGCTCTGTGTACAGAGCTCGTGGAGAACCTTCCTTATCCGGAAACACACGAACACGTTAGAAGCCATTTCTTTTGACCAAGCCTCTCTAAGCTGGTTCAAAATGTATTTCAGTCACAAACTGGCTTGTAACTTCAGTCAAACTCTCTGAATGTTCTTTTTCTCACTTAGTGAGTGCTACACAAATAATCCTGAAATGTCCCTCTGGAGTTCACTCTACGAGTCTAGGATTTCCCCAAAGATACTCAGATTCCTGGTGGAGCAAAATGTCTTGCTCATCACTTGATGATTCTTGCACTGATAGAGCTGTTTCCTGTTTCTTGTTGTCATTCTCTTTTGTTTCTCACAGTATTTCTATATTGCAAAATTAATAGCTTAACTAATGCTTTATGATAGCCTAATGTGCATAGACTCTGTATATACACACACGTGTGCACACGCATATGGCTGCCTTGTCGTCTTGGTGCTTTCTGTGAACGCCTGGCCTCAACACAAGAGCAAGAGATGAGTCATTTAGGTGTCTTGCACCCGACAGCACTTAGCATTTATCAACCCAAAGGAAAGATAGTAGAAACAAAAGAAAACACACGAAAAAATCAATATCCAACCCCTCAGAAAGCAATAATTAAGTAGCTATTTTCAATGGCATCAGGAATGAATGTGAGCTGACCTAAGATTCAAGAAAAAAATTCAGCAAGTTCCTTAGCTGAACTCATGCAGATAATTAAACACATAAGTCAATATAGCCCATGGGTGTTGATCTTCCAGTGAATCAAGAGACAGAATCATATCACTTCCTTTGCCTTGTCTACTTGACATGCGACCCTAAAACTACCAGCTTCACAGGGCAGGAACTTATCTTGTCCATCTCTGGATCACTATCACCCAGCAGGGCCTGGACATAGTAGGTGCTCAATAAATAGTTCCTGAATGAAAAAAAAAAAAAAAAGGGCAACTTGCCTCTTACATGTCTCCCTCAGTTTTCTCATTTATAAAACAAATAATAACTGCCCTCCCTGACTTACACGATTGTTAAGACAGAGAAGTTGCTCTCTACATTAAATGTCATTTTAATATTGGTCTACATCTTAAATATCTATTCAATATTAAATATGTTGGCTTATACAACAAACCAATCAGTGTTAAATGCTCCACCCTCCCCTTCTTATGTTTTTTTTTTTTTTAACCTCATACTTACAAATGGCTATGCTTCCCCAAATGCTAGTTACTGACAACTGCTTAAAGTTCTGGAATACGTCTCAGGTTGGGAAATTAAATCAATTCAGATATATCAAAAAAGAGAAGATCCTGGTTCATGCAGCACAATGATAATGATAAAGAACAGATCCATCATCATCAGATAATATTTGGCTTTAGTTGTTTAATGACCACACAGAGGCTAAGAAACCATTTGGCATCTTTCAAATATTGTTCCCTCATGAAAAAAAAAATTCCAGCAGATCCCCAAAGACACACTGTAGAAGATGCAAGAAATGAATGAATGTGAGCCCATAACTACATAATGCCCACACTCAGCCTCCTCTCGGCTGAATCAGCCGTGTGACTGGTATCAGAATGCAGGCTGGGGTCACAGCACGGAACAGGCTCCTTTAGGATTATGCAACACTGTCCCCAAGACCACACCCACCAGCGTGCTCAGGGCGTGATCAGCATTTCATCCAGATCGTGGGAAATTATAGTGGTCCACCGAGGACGGAAAACTAGAAATGGTAAATGAAGCATATAGAAAACTAGCTGGTGATGTTTAAAGGGTTTTCTATTCATTAGTTCATTTGTATGTTACTCAGTAAAGAAATGCTACCGCCAAAAATACTGCCGTCTACTACTTCAATAACATCCCATTAATTCTCACAACTCTGCGTGGTAAACTTTATTATTTCTACTTTTGCCATGGGAGTAATCTGAGACGAAAAGAGACTAAATAATTTGCAAGATCTAAATGGAGGTCTGATAACCCCAATGCCCCTAACACACTGCACTGTACCTCACGACTCACATTTGCTTCCAATCTGAATCACGAGATCATAGAGGTAGCCTCTAAAAGGGGCTGAGGTGGGAGGAAAGGGAATCAGTGCCTTCCACTGTTGCTGTTGTGCTTCAGGTTACCCTGTATCGCCTGCTCTGGTGCTCCTTGTACGGGGTTTCCCAAAGCTTGCTGACCAAACGCTTCAAGACAATAAGAGAGATGGTCTTTGATTCTGTATCTTTCATTCTTGCAACTTTTTCTCATCATGTATTAAGATGACCCTGCGCTCCTACGGCCCGGAAGGAGACAGGATCCAAACTTCTGAGCCCCATGTTACCTGGATTTCATCTCCAGTGATCATTTCCCATGAGCCATAATGACCCTTCTCCTGTCGGAAGAATTGCACAGCTTCTAAAAACGCTTGGGCTTCAAATGTCGTCTGCTTCATGTAATCTGAAGGGAAGAGGAAGGGCAGTAAGCCAAGTGAAATGCTCTGTTTTGTATTTTTCCATAGTTCTTTAAGTGTAATAATTCAGAGACCTAGTATTATCTGCAGCGGTGGTGGCAAACCCATGGCATGCGTGCTGCAGGCTGTTTGTATCACCGAAAATTCTAAAAGGTTCCCCATCACTGATCTACAGCAAGGCATGAAACAAAAAATCTAAACAAGTACTTGAGTTGAAGTTCATCTTCAGGTATACATCCCATTACCTGCTCACCATCTTAGCTGATTACCTTTGTCAGTCCCTGTAATAAAGGTTAGTACTAGAAACAAGTTCATCTCCCTTTCTTTTTCTTATACATGTTTCCCTCTCTCTTTCCACATCCCCACTAACTTTATGCTACCAACTGTAACATTTCCCTCACACAAGCCATCCGGTAACAGGACCTTTTGTGAAAACTTTAATTTCTTTGTGACCTTATACCAGATACCTGTCAAAAGGACATCACGTAGTGTGCTAATTTTTGCAACAAAAGACAATTATTGCAAACCTCACCCATTTCATAGAGACCTAACAAAAACTCCTGAAGAGAGTATTACCATCATTCCCATTTTACAGATGAGGAGACTGAAGCACAAAAGGGTGAATTAATTGCCTACCGTCATATACAGTAACTAGTGCGTGGCAGAGCCAGGGTGAGAACTCAGGCAATCTGACTTTAAGCCTGCTTCTAACCATTGCAATGCACTGCCTCACTTACTAGTTTATAGTTTGTCTTTCCAAAAATATTGGGCTTTCTATAATGTTTTATCTGAGAAGTAATATCCCATAATAAAAGAATAAATATCCAGTGGTGGGATTTTGGATATGAAGGACAGAACTGGGACCTAATGGCTTTCCCAAATTCCACAATCATTCCACTCTTGTGTCTTCCTTTCCAACACATATAACTACCTCTTGGAGGACACAGTAATAATACAATCATAGAAATCTTAGTGGGGAAATGAATTTAAAAATAATCTAACTGGGATCAGGGATATTAGCTCAGTGGCAGAGCCTGTGGTTGGCTTGCATGAAGCCCTGGATCTGATCCCAACATCACAAAGAAAGATAGGAAGGAAGGAAGGGAAGAAGGAAAGAAAGAACTGAATCAAATAGTAAAGAAACAAATCTTAGAAAGGAGAAATGAAGTGAGTGAAGGACAAATTTAAGGCCTTTCCCACTACAGGGCACAGAGTATTTTTTTTTTTTCAGTACTGGGAATTGAACCTAAGGCTGTCACACTGAGCTGCATCCCCAACCCATTTTTTTGTTTTTTTATTTTGAGACAAGGTCTCAGTAAGCTACTAACTTGCCAAGGCTAGGCTCAAACTTGTGACAAGGATGTCTTGTCCGTAGGAGGTAATCTGCATAGGATGATATTAGACCAGTCAACTGAAGGCACTGAGTCACAGGGGGTGCCACCATAGATTTAAACAATGAGATTACACAGCCAAGGACTACATGATACAGGGGACTGAGCAGAGCTAAGAGAGAATCAATATGCTCTGAAAGGCAACAGTCAATAGCTTGTGGATAGAACTGTTAAGTTTTGCTTACTAGATTACAAGCCTCAGGAACTTGCAGAGGGATAAATACAACTCAGGGCACAACCTCTACAAGAGTTCAAACAAAATTCTCCACAGTGAAGATACTACAAAGTCCAGAAACTCCACTTTCCAAAATGTGGACCACGAACTGACATTTCTAGTATCAATGCAGAGATTTAGTCAAAATAAAGAAGCCAGAAAAAGGGCATGTCCTAAGCATCAAGTTTTCAAACCAAAGTACTTTGTACCTTGTAATTTTTCTTGGCTCAATAACTGATCTAGCGTTTAACCTCAGAGGTTTGGAAAACAAAAAGTTAAGATCTTGCTATAAAACTGACAACACCATCGGTAGTGTTTTCCCCACAAGGGGATCACAATATGTGCTCAGGACACTGGGAAGGGTTTTGCCAAATGAGATGGAAACTGTAATTACTACATTGCAATTCAAGATTGAGTCATGTGCTCTTATTTTTAACAGCTGTTTTCATTTCCAACCTAAGGAAAGAAGGAGATGGAAGAAAATGTGGTACTGTATTTGGATGGAGTGAATATGGCCAGACCTGCCTGCCAGCCAAGGAAAAAAGTTTTAAATGCTTCAAGTCCTTACAAAAACCATAACTTTTTAATATTTCTTCCCCCACTGACCTCAGAAACTGGAGGAGGTATTTTACATCCTGTCTATTCTCTTCTAGATCTATATGAAAGCAAACAAGGACATTTGCACTGATGGTGGCTCGGCCAATGATCTTTGGAAAGAAAAAATAACTGTAGAAATGGGAGGATCTAATCTACTGATTCATCATTAGATTTTCAGCTTATAAATCAATTAAATAAATTTATCTATACAAAACTTTTAGAACAGATCTGCCACAGGGCAGGTTGCTTTAGGAGTATTTGTCCTTATGGTTAGGAACAAAATTCAAGAGCAATTGCCTTATCACTAAGCAAATAAAAAACAAAGGTCTGTTTTCTTTAAAAAAAAAACATTACAATAGTAAAATGATCTTCATTTTCCTTAAGTTATTTGCAAAGGCATTTGAACTCAGGCAGCATGTACAGGTGTTACAGAGGAATCAGATTCCCAAATTATTGGATCACCTTCCTACTGGAGTTCTCAAGGGAACAAACTCCAGGCTCACAGTCTCCCTCTCATGCCAACAAACAGATTGAGAGATCAGCTCAAGGGTCCCCAGAATCACCGCTGGTTTGGATCTTTAAGCTGTCTCCTTGCAAGCAGACTTAGAAAATGGCAAGTATCAATCTCAAGTCTCTTTTTCAACCTGTAATATGACAGGTGCACTGAAAGCAACTTAGACAACATTAAGTTCAGCTCCCTCATTTTATGAGAGAGGAAACTGGGGCAAAAACATGGTTAATTTTTTCTTTAGCTGAAGGTCACACAGCTGGTCAGCACCAGAGCCAAGAGTTGAAAAAGTGGCTCTGGCATGTCATAAGCAGCCTTGGCATTCATGCTGACTTAAGTCATAGACTATGGGAGTTGGACGTGATCTTAAAGGTCACCTACCTCTAGCTTTTGCTCCATGCTGGGATCTTACAGAATCCCAGGCAAACACTCATTTGGCCTTGGTTTGAATATTTCTAACAACAGACAGCTCATGACTTAATGAAATCGTTCTTTCCATCACTGAACTACTCTAATTATTTGAATGTTTTTCCTTCTGCTGAGCCAAAATCTATTTCCATAAGTTCTCTCATTAATCCCATTTTCCCTTTAACACCAAAATGTACAAGTTTACTCCTCTTCCATATAGGAACTTCGAAGCAACAGTAATCAGCTGGACATACTTAATTTTTGTTTAACTAATCAACAGACAACGTATCTTTGGGGTCTTTCTAAATTTGGCCCTCCTTTTTCTTTCCTTTCTGCAGTGATCCATTCTAACTTGTTAACATCTTTTTTTAAAGTTGGTATATTGCCTGACTAACACAAGTCACACAAAGAAGAAAGATTACTTTCCTTTTTCTGATTTTCCAACCCCTTTTTAATTACAACCATATCACGCTGCTGACTCATATCTTTCCTGCAGTCCTTTAAAATTCCTACACCTTTTTCATATAAAACTCTTGCCTCTCTGAACCTGTGTTTCTCCTTTTGACTCTAAAGGACAGATTTGAACATTATCCCTATTAAATTACTTCGTGTAATGAGACTGATCAGCCAAAGCTTGGTATAAAGGCTTTTGAAAATTGTAATTCTGTCTCCTAACCCCTTTTCACCTTGGTATCACTAGAAAACTGGCTAAGTTTATCTTCCGTGTTTCTCTCCACTCACTGATAAAACATTCACCAGGGGCCGGGTATATAGCTCAGTGGCATAAGCGCTTGTCTGGCAAGCCTGAGGTCATGAGTTCAATTCCCAGTACAAAAAAAAAAAAAAAATCACCAGGATCAGAGGCACAGAGAACTCTGGGAAACTAAGCATTTTAGAAGACATGTGACAAATACATCCTGGCCATTCACTCAACAACCATATCTCCAGGACTGAGCAATGTCTAGGAATGCACCGTTCTCCTTAGTCGCTCCCTATTTCTTCATCCATGCAGCTGCATGGAAAACTCACATTTGGAAGACATGATTAAGGATTCTGCAAGGAAAGGAAATCTTCTCTAGGCCTCTTGGGGACAGTTATTCAGGGGGCCAGCCAGGAAGGCATCACTTTTGTTTTTTCCACTTACACAGATTTATAACATGTCTGACTCAACTTAAACAGCAAAACTCCAAGGCCTGTGGGATCACTATAGACTCTGACTCTGGCTGCTGCTCTGGGACTGGGTTTGGAAGCGGCTCTGTTATTTTATTCTATTGGTAAACGGTGCCAAACCATGTTAGCTGATCTGCCTGGTGATCTGTGAAACTTATGTAACAGCATTACTCATTACACTGCTATGGGTTCTCCTCGCTGATGTACACCACTCAACTGCCGCCAGCCCTGGGCTCCGGGAGAGCTGTGGTGAGGCTGCTTGCCCTCCTTTCTCCTCTACAGCAAAGGGGAAGGTGCACTTACGGAGTCCCAACCACAGTGTAGGGGCCACGTCTTGTGTAATGCTTCCAGTAATTCCACTAGGTAGGTGTTCACATCCCCACTTCACAGAGGGTAGAGAAAGTGAGTTTCAGCGAGGTTAAACAGCTTAGGTTAATATGTGATCAGGCCAGGGCCACTCATCGCCAATCCTCCTAGAACATTCGATGGCTTGATGTTTGAAATCTTTTTGAGAAAATTGTAGACTTACCTGCTATTATAAAAATTAACATAGCTATCCCACAGACCCTTTACCCAGAGCCCCACCCAAGAGAACGTATTTCAACCCTATAGTTTAAGATCAAAACCATAATGCAATCCAACCTTTTCATTCAGATTTCATCAGTTTCACATTGTAATCTTTCATGTATTTTGTGGTTGAATTTCAGAATTATTTTAAAAGGCGGGGAGCCAGTGGTGCAGCTCCGTGGAGGGAGTTTTCCTTCTATGTGGAAGGCCCTGGGTTGAATCCCCAGTACTACCAAAAAAAAAAGTTATTTTAAAAGAGATTTTTCTACACTAAGTTCAGAAACAAAATTCCAAATATTTATCATAGAGATTATCTAGTGCAAACTATTTGTTATATTTTATTTTGCTTTTTAAAAGTATAGTCATTAGTTCTTATTAACTACACAAAATAGTGAGTTTCATGATGACATTTTCATACAAGCATAGAACGTGCTTTGATTGTATCCATCCTTCTATTGTCCCCTCTTATCACAGACCCTCTCTCCCGTGTTCCATTCTCCTTCTGGGACTGTCCCCTTCTATGCTCTTGTCCTTCCCTCCTATGCTCTACATAGAAGAGAAACACATCTCTTTCTGAGTCTGACTTACTCTACTTAACATGATCACTTCCAATTTTATCCATTTTCCTGCAAATGACATGATTTCATCCTTTTTCATGGTTGTATAATATCCCATTATGTACATATTCCACATTTTCTTTATCCATTCATGTTTTTTTCATATTAAGAAAGGTTTATTTAGCATTATATCTGAGGCACTACGAGAACAGAAGAAGAAATTAAAGATGTATCTCACATTCAATTTTAAGGAGGCTCAGGAAAATAAACGCACAATGCCTATAACCAATCTTCAAAGTATGAAGAGTCACAGGTCTGTAACACATACAGTATATGTACTATGGAGACCTCCCAGCAAACAAAGATGGTCTCGATACAGTATCTGCAGTCTTTCCAGTCTGAAGACACCAATCCACATTGTTTTTTTGTTTTGTTTTTCTTCCAGTATCGGGAATCGAACTCACGACCTTGTGCTTGCCAGGCAGGCGCTGTGCCGCTGAGCTAAATCCCCAGCCCCACACTAATCCACACTGTTCGGCTGTTTTTCTCAATACCAGCCTAGAATTCTATGGACAAAATTAACAATCCCGAAAGGTTTGCGGGGAAAAGAGACTGACAGGGTATGATGCTGGCCCTGAAAAACAGGTAAGTTGGCCTACTGTTCTGGAAACACAATGCTGTCAAAAGCCTGGAAGCCACAGTATTTAATCTTAAGACACGGTCAGGGAGACAATCTCTTTAAGTACAATTTCATGATTACATAGAAAGTCAATTCTTCAGACAGTAAGGAGAGGCCAAAATAATAACTAGGAGTTTTAAAAAAGATGTACTTTCAGAGTTAATAAAATGAATCAATGACCCAACTATACCTACGCCCAAAATTAGTTCTGCCCAGGCTGCCAGGATAAACAAATACAAAAATTAGAAGGTAACATACGAGAAGGTATTTTTACAACTACAGATGTCAAAAAAGGAAAAAGAGACATGTTGTAGTATTTCCTTAGAAGAGCCTTTTTTGAAAAGCAGTGCAGGGAAGAAAGGCAGAGAAAATAACCTAAGGACTGGTATTACGTCAGCAGAATCTATTCAGTATCTTTAATAATTCTCTTATTTCTAACGCCTCCCACAAAAGGGCATTGCAACTCTTCAAATTTACTGCAAACGTATCTTAAAGTCAGCCCTACTATTGAAGCTATGAGACAAATTTTTAACTATCGGCACTATACTGGAAAGTACAATGAACATCTCATTTAAATAAAGAAAGGATAATATTTCACTGGGAGATAGAGCCAACAGATTCTTTTCTCATATCCATATCTACCAGTGGTATCTTACTGGCTAGCTTCTAAACAGACGCAATTTTTTTAAAAAAATGCCAAAAGCCACGTTTTGCTCAAGAATACTATTATTCAAATACCACTTGTTGGACAGCAGATACTTGTTTGCCAAGTTGGACAGCAGATACTTGGTTGTTGGACAGCAGATACTTGTTTGCCAAGCTTCAGATGGCAAAATGCGAGGTTGTGAATTGGAAGCTGTGCAGCAAGTTGTTCTTCCTTGCTCGGGAGCCTCCGGCGGCTTGTGTTGTTGCCCAGAGGTCACCCTGCTGCCGCTCTCTTCTCACAGTTGGATCCCCTAGGAAGGATGGTTCATGTCCTTAGGATGCAAGGCCGAGCAAAAACCCTCCCACAAATCCACTGGATATCCCAATGTTCTGTCTGATAAATTCGGTTGCTTCTTCGATTACACTGTTGATTTCAGGTGCTGCTTTATCTGCTCGTTTCTTAATTTGTCTTTTTGCTTTGTTTACGTCTTTTTCCACTCTCTTCCGGTCGATCTGAACGTAGCCACTGCGACTGGCAATGTGTAGGAGAAGAAAGCCACCACCTACGGCCGTTGCTGTAAGTTTCCCAACTTTCTGGAGTAAAAATCCTGCACACCAGCCAGCCACGCCACCCATTACAATCTGGGTAGCTCCTGAGTATTTTTCAACCATAGGTCCTGATGGGTGGCCAAACACTCGATTCCACCCGTGGTGTCTTCTTGCGTATTCTGCTAAATCCAACACTTCGTAAGAGTAGTCATCACTTTCACGTTCTTGGGGAGGGGGCTTCCGGGACGCCATGATACCGCCGGCAGCCAGTTCTGGGGTGGTCCCCGCCCACCCTCCTCTCCCTCCTCTCCCCTGCACTTTAAGGGCCGCTCTAGGCCAAGGGAGAAATCTATGGTCTGCTCTTTTCCCTTCCTCCTTTTCTTTTCCCTTCTCCATCTCCTCCTTCTCCTCTTTCCACCATTCATCTGTTGATGGTAACCTAGGTGATTTAATAACTTGGTAACTGTGAATAAAGCTGTGATAAACATGGATATGTAGGTATGTCTATAGTATGTTGATTCTGATTTCTTTGAACATAGACCCACTTTGGATAGGTTGATCATATGGTGGTTCTATTTTTAGTTTTTGAAGGAATCTCCATACTTACTTCTATAGTGACTAGTTTACATTCCCACCCACACTATCTAATGGCTCCTTTTCCCTTGCATTCTTGCCAGAATTTGTTTCTGTCTGTTTCTTTGTTGGTTTTCTTGATAAGAGCAGTTCTGACTAGGGTGTGATGAAATCTCAGTGTAGTTTTGATTTGCATATGTCTGGTGGTAAAAGACATCGAGCACTTTTTCAAATATTTACTAACCATTTGTACTTCTTCTGAAGTACATCTGTTCCTCTCATTTCTTAATTTACTGATTGAATTAATTGTTCTTTCAGGGTTAAATTCTTTATTTCTTTATATATTCTAGCTATTTCTTCTCTGACAGATGAACAGCTGGCAAAGATATTTTCTCATTCGGCAGACTGTCCCTTCACTCTGTGGATTGTCTTCTTCGTTGTGCAGCAGCTTTTTAATTTAGTATAACCCCAGCTGTCAATTCTAGGTATTATTTCCAAAACTATTAGAGTCCTGTCAAGAAACTGTTGCCTATACCAGTACCTTGAAAATTTTCCCCTGTTTTCTTCTCAGACTCCTAATTTTAAGTGAGTAGACTGAAGGCCTGACAGAATGTGACAAGACATTGCTAAACATAAGATAAAACAAATGAAAACTTCTTTACTGGAATTAACAATGACTGGTGTTCATTCTAACAAAATGGTAATAAAGGTTTTATTTTTTATTTAAAAACCTACTTATAGGTGACCAACCCAGGCAAATATGTGTTGCTACATTATAAATGAGAACTCTGATGGGGACTAGCCTTAGGTACTGAGAAGAAACCGGTCTCTTGCCAGACGTTCCTGAACTTTATTTTGTAAACCATTAGCCTAAAATATTCATCCACTGTCCACAATACAAGAGCTCCCTCAGGGGAGATAAAATGCTTCTCCAATAAATGGGAGAAAGGTGTTAATAGTGGAGACTTCGTTTTCAGAGAAATTTCTAACCACATAGAAAAAACATCATACTCCTTTTTCAGCCAAAAGCAACCATCTTGTAAACTTTTAATTGACAGTGAAAATTAGAAGGGTGTTTGTCAACAGAGAAAAGGAAGTGGTGATTACTCCAACAGGCAAAGACAGACTGGCTCACTGCCTTTAGATAAAACTACCACACTGGTAGATTTGAAGGCTGCTGAAGATATCCTCTACATACACATTAGCAAAGGCAGTTGTCAATGTCTTGCAAGATTTTGTCTTGTTTTGTTTTGTCTTTTTTTTTTCCCCGGTACCAGGAATCGAACTCACAACCTTGCGCTTGCCAGGCAGGTGCTATGCCACTGAGCTAAATCCTCAGCCCCGTCTTGCAAGATTTTGATTGACATACTAATGTTAGATTGGCTGGTAATGCAAACAGACCTAAAATAAATATCTAATGATGGATGCTATCCCTTAAACATTTTCATTATCTCAGGTAAGCAATCCATGTAGTTCTATAATGCATTTTACTTACTTGCTGTTCACCAGTCTCTGAGTTAGGTCTAAGGATGCAAAGCCATAAACTGTGTTTTCAAATGCAAGTTTCTAACAGTCTTCTAGATTAGAGACTCAGGATCCAAAATGAAACCTAATAAGGACAGATGAATCCAACAATCCAAAAGTACACTAACACATAGTGGCTATGCAATGAAAGACTGGTAAATAAACCGAAGGAATAAAAGAACAACTCTTGAAGAAAAAACCTAAATCCTGGGGTTTTGTGTTACTATTAGACCAGCACAAGGCAGCAGTGTGACTCAGTTACCCATAAGCAGGTAAAGCTGGCCCTCAGAAATGTGCGTTACAGGGACAAGATGGTCATAGATGGATCTGGGATTTGCTCTTCCAAGCTTATCATTCTATACCCGTCCCTTCTGCTGAGCACCCGAACATTTTATAAACATTTAAAATAAAAAAGGTGGAGTACAGCTGAAGACAACTAGAATGAGAAAGCACACAGCCTTGGAAAGAAAAACCCAGAAGGAAGAGATCTTAATTACATGAAGGCCTGCAGGGTACAAGAACACTTGAGTTTGCCCTTTGCCAATTCCGATACTAGGGTCAGGAAGGTGTAGTTTGAAGTAGAATGGGGCAGATTTTAACTCAACGTGGGGGACAAATTTCTAATATTTAGGCTTATCGTAAAGTGAAATAGGCCCCAATAGGATGTCACTAGAACTGAGTCACTTTGTAGAAGGTAGATAGACTAGCTCAAAAACGTTTATTAAAACTCTCATGGCAGTATGCAACTCCCCATCATAGTACTTGTAATTTTACAGTTGGCATAATCACGTGAGCTTTGTCTTTTCCAAACTGTTATCTCAGAGGGAGGCTGCTGTTTCAATTCATCACTGCATCCACAATCCCTAGGACATACTGTAGTTCTTCTCAAATAATCAAAGAAAGAAAAGGAGGGAACAAAGGAAGCTGGGAGAAAGGGAAAAAAGAGAGGAAGGGAAGGAGGGAGGGGGAGAGAAATAACTGAAACGAGATAGAGTACTGAATTAAATCTCCTATAAAGTTCCCTCTAATCTGCAATTTCACAGTTACAAAACAAGCCCAAGTCTTGCAAGTGGATCAGACTATCTTAATGAGTTCCTTCCCTACTGTTATAAGGAGCTACTGAAGGGTATTGATGTGCCCCACTCCAGTGCTTCTCACACAGGTAAGCATCACACTCCCCTGGAGGGCTTGCTAAGCCTCAGCTCACCAAGCCCCAGCCCCGAGTGATGCAGTGGACCTGGGGTGGGACCCACTTGTTTGCATTTCTAAGAAGCTCTAGGTGATGTCCTTGCTGCAAAGACACGCTGTGAGAAGCACTCCTCTACCTAGCATTACACTGCTTTACCAGCAGTCACCTTCAGTGCTTGATAATAAGTCCGCTCTTGATCTTGCCCCAGCTATTCTGCCGTAGCAGGTCTGCGATGGGGCCCAGGAGTCTGCATTTAAACAAGTGCTCCAGGTGCTTCTGCTCCAGGTAGAAACACACCACACCTGAGGGGGACAAAATTTCACAGAAGAAAAGTACAATAGAAAACTATGGATCTCGATTGTTCAGGGTCTTGATGACTTTGTTTCCTCATTAAGGGAACAGTTAAGACATGCCCCTTTTGTCAACTGCTCAAATGAATGCTTATACTTACTCAAAGTGATGTTAAAAAAAAAGTAGTATTGTGATGGAGCTTTATCAAAAATATGTGAATAAAGAGACAACACTTTGGGCAGATTCACAAGACATTATTCTGAACAATGAGAACGCTACCCATGGAGAGGAACTCACCCCTTCAGGAGGTGTTCTCACTGACTGGAACTAAACCCTCAGAGGTAACCCCAGCTGGCCCCACTTTCCTTTTTGGTACTCACTGGGTACGTGTGTGCTTTCTAAAATCTTGTAGGTAACAGTCATTTTTTCTAGTATCAATGGTCTCAGTTTCCTTTACCTTAAGTTTTTTCAAAACCTTAAAAATATAAAACTGACCTATGTTCCAGTCTTTTCCAGAAAGTAATGGCAGTGTCATCATTTGCTGTTCCCCAATACCAAGAAAATACTCTGTGCCCTGAGGCTGTGGTCCATTGAAATGTTTTCCATAGCATGAACGAATCTATCACCCTGTGTGTCTTAACTACCTGGGCATAGTCAAGCCAAGAGGATAATGACACAATCGATTATATCCTATCTACTCAGGACAAACATATACGGCTTTATACAAGTAGATTTGTATTCTTGGACAGTGAGGAGAGAACTGTCTTCCAATTCTCTCTATTTGTGGAGAAGCTGCTGACACATAGTGAGGAGAAAAAAATTTGCATCAAAAAACCTCAGCAAGGGCTGGGGATTTAACTCAGCAGCGAAAAGCGCCTGCCTGGCAAGCGCAAGGTCGTGAGTTCGGTTCCTGGTACCGGAGAAAAACCAAAAAAAAAAAAAAAAAAAACCTCAGCAAAACGAATGAAAACTATCTAATTCTCTTCTTAAAATATGAATTTTTAAAGTAGCCACCATATGATGTTTTACAAGCAGTTGTGGCAATGCACATACTTGGGTTATCTTTCAGCTCAGACCACGGAAACTGGGTCATGTGCCTCTCGGTGACACTGTGGGGAGTTGTGTGGCTTTCTTCCCTGCAGGCAAAAATTTACCACACAACCTGGACATAATTTAAAGTAAGCCTGAGTTCAAATAAATGGGGAAGATGCTCCTCTAGTCACAGGCTGGTATAGTGTCACTGTAGCACACACACAAATATTAGAGGTATTCTTCCTGTCTGATTTTATGGATAATCTTACCTTGTGTCTTAGTTACTTTCTCACTCCTGGGACAAAACACTCAGCATCCACAAGTTAAAGAAGGATAGGTTTATTTTTAGTTTACAGTTCATAGAGGTTTCAGGGGATAGTCACTGGCTCCAGGGTGGGGTGGCATGGCAGAACAGAAAGCACTCATGGCAAGTCAGGCAGGAAGCTGAGAATCTTCCTTCTTTCCCTTTTTATTCTACCTAGGCTAAAAACCTATTGGTTGGTGCCACTCCCACCCAGGGTGTGTCTTCCCTCTTCAATAAATCCATTATCCATACCCAAAACTATGCTAACCCAATCAGCAGGCTAATCCAGTAACACACACTCATGATCCAGTATCACACACCTATGATCCAGTCACCTCTCAAAAGTCCTACCTATTAGTACATAAGGCT